TGTAATCTGGCTGCAGTTTCCATGCTCTACTAGACCGCATAATTGCGGATTTACTGAAAAGGAATCATCGTTTTCGCATAGATGTATTGTGTTGTTAAATCTGCTTCAGTGGTTCCTCATCGGACCCCTGTATAGCATAACAAGTTGTCGCATAACCTAAAGTCTGGATTGAAGATCTTGATAGTGGCAGACGTTCGACGTCTAAATCCTAGGTGGGTGTGGGTATTTTACTGGAAATAAGATTGATTTTTTTCAATTTGGACCATTTCACTAAACAGTCAAGTGCTTTTAACTGTCACGACCTTCAATGGCAATCTGAAGATAGCTTAGCCGTCCGGATTCAAAGAAATTAGATCCAGACTGTTAGGACTCTGTCTGAGAAATCCACTTCAATGGGAGTTTGACACGTCAGACGTACTTGGTAATATTCGTGCACCGGATATTCAGGTTCAAAATGTCACTTAGGTTGAGAAACACGTCATCATCGGTCTACGTGGCTCACATGGTTGAATATGGCTTGGCGAAGTGGAGTCACTCGTATGGTATGAATTTCAACAGCCTCCATATCTTCCACTAGTGAACCCATCAGCAAATACCCATGGGTACTAGTCGACTTGAACACAAAGTTGCACATACTTAACCGTATGATTCATTCATCTGGCAGTAGAAATTAAAGAAGATATGGTTAGGTCCCAGTGATTCTTGAACATCTAGTTTCGCCAGAACAGTTTTTAGCACAACATTCTGACCCTTATCCAAGTTACAAAAAATGGCTATCTAGTTGGAAGATTTTTGTCGCGCCTTAGTTTGTTTTCTGAGTCAATCGCAAGTTAATTCACCTGGATGCTCACAGTCAAAGCAATTTCCAGCAATTCGAAAGCAAACCCGTTCGATCGTGTGTACCGTTGCTGCTGATCGGAGATAGTATGCGCATTGCTCCGGCAGGATTGCATCCACAATGAACGTGTGCAAAACACTTTCTAGTAAATTATGCAACGGGGTGGAAACACGAGTGTTACCATGGTCACGACTTTGTAGGTTTTCACAATGGGCGCCACGTGGATGGCAAGTACTAGTCATCACAAATTCAGGAACCATGTTTCCAATGACCGGTTAATTTCATGGAGCTTGAACATTCAGTATAGATAACTTGAATAAATCCCGAACATGTACAAATTTGTTTGGAATTTAGTCCTTCAAAATGTGGGCAATGTTAAATGAACTGGTATCGAAGGTGGCTAGAGCTATCCAAGGGTGTGGTTCAGGAGAGAGAAGTCGCCTGTTGATCTGGTTGTTTTTCATTAGATCTGATGTGCAAATGAAGATGAATTGCATAGAGTTTAGGCTGGCTTAAACAGCTCAAAACGAAGAGTATGTATTCGGGCTAACATTGGCGGAACTGTGAATAGTAGGATAAAAATGATCAAAAATTTAAAACATATACAGACGGTCGGTTGATGGAACAGAAGATTCAAGAAGTCAAGGTCAAGTCAAGATTATTCTGGAGGGTCTCCTTGGGCATATAATGACGGCTTTGCCGAACGATCAATGTGCTAGTAAGAGCTCGTGTTTATTTGATCGGTTGTGCTTCTGTAACTACTTTGAGGACGATGCTAGTGCAGAACGGTCAAAAGGATAAAAACTGATCTGTTATCCTCCTCCAGATAGTTAAAAGATGCATACAAGCAAGATCACCTAGGATTTTGACAGCATACTTGTGACACACTGTGTTTAATGCTAACGACTCGTTAGCTACTGCTTCAAATCAGCTAATCATTTATAGGGATTATGAACCGTCATGTTGCCATTCGCAAGCTTGAGAAGGAGTCGTGCACTGGAGATTACTTAGCAGCTAGTCAAGGGAGTCTCACTCACACTCTGAAATCGGTAGTAAATAGCCTACTTACGTGCAGATAGCGCCCTCTACCGCAGAGAAAAACTCAAAACCCTTACCTCCTAGAAACGTGCCATATTGCGAGCACTCCAGCAAACGTTATATTGCCTGCCCTCCTGGCGCAAACCCGCTGGGTACCTACTTGCAAAAAGTTAGGCACACCTTCACCAAAGTTGTCCCCATGAGGTCAATCTACAGTTACTTCCCGTTATACCACATTTAATTTATTGGTCCGCCCTCAACGTGCGTTTCTTTTTTGCTTTGATTAGTCTATTCATAGTCCAGGGATTCCCAACAATGCTTTCGGGTTATTGGCCCAAGGATTGGTCATAAATTTTAGTTAAATGTGAGCATCTGTCACTCGAAGACAACAAGATGGCAAGTATAAGTGGTCGCTGATGAGAATAGGCCGCAGATTTTCGTGAGAAATTTTGTTAGAAAAAAAGTTTGGTGTCGTATGTCGACATTTGAGACAGCTGAAGAGAACACATGGAGAATATTGTAAGCCAGAGGCCCAGCTGGATTCGGTTGAGCCTATTGTTAACACCAAAATTAGTTTGAATGTACGTGTTGAGTCAAATTTCGGGTCAAGTGGAACACAACAGTGACCGAACTGGGTAACCGAGTCTGCCTGATAAGTCCGAGAAAGGCCAAAGTTGGCAGTGGACAGCCGAAAAAATTTGAGCGACCTTAAAATTGGTTCTTTTTCATGAAAACATTGTGAAATATCCCAAATATTGTAATAAATGAAACAGAAGCAATAGGCTGCCGCGATTCCACCAAGTATTTTGTTGGAATCAAAACAGTTTGTAACTGAGCGTAATTCACGAATGTGAGGAATAGGTTTTGCTTAACTATGTTGTTTTCTCAAGGCTGCTCAAACAAATAGTAGAAAGGCACTATTTCAAGTCATCATCGGAATTGTAGTTGAGCTGTTTCCAGTACTCCCTGAGTGAGCTAACATATCGGTATTTGTTATGAAAACCTTCAGATTACTTTTGACACACACCAAATATAGCCCCTCAGCAAAATTCTGGGCAACAAATACATGGGATGAATATTGTGAACTGCTGTTCACTCAACTTACGGCCACTAGTAAACAACCTTTTTGGTTCATCTAGACTTCTCCAAAGCGATCGGTGCCGAAGCCGTTTAGAAAACATCTGTTACAGAAGTGCAACTGTATCAGTTAGATCTGATCTATCATAAAGTTTACATTGCCACGAAAGTTTATTGGATAGAATGAAGATGACTGCGTCGTTCAAACGTCGTTCAACTTGGAAGGTATGAAATCGTTCGAGGGGAAATATAGCAAAAATTTTACGGTAAGAAGTGGGTGGTACTTACAAGCGGTCCAATGTAAAGAAATTTCCTGCAACCTCTAAAAATTTGGACAACTTGAATTATAGAGAAACACATAAACGCATAAAGTCTGCCCCCTAAGGTTTATCGCTTCAGATTTTGGATTGATATGGAATGACTCTTTTTATCCGCTCAAGTATGCATACATTTGTTCACAGATGAGATTCTGGTGGGTGGATTTTCAACCATCTAGTGAAGTGATGTCTGAATAGTGCTTTGGGGTATTACTTGGAAGCTAATAAACAATAAAAAATAGTTCCTTCCCTGTTGGAAATCACAGAAAATCAATGTGATGCGAACCCTTAGGATGGGACTAGCTGATCCTTTCATACGGCATGCTCTTCGTTGCATCCAAGACCTAGTGGAAGTAAGTTCACAGCCAGAAACGTTTTTAGTTTCGAGCTATCACACTACACAGTGCGGACATAATTGAACTGGTTCAAGTCGTAGAGGTTAAGTCATTAGGTCATGGAACTCTATGTCTGATAGATGTTCTTGCCTGCCCATGTGAGTCGTAGAGGTTAAGTCATTAGGTCATGGAACTCTATGTCTGATAGATGCAGCGTTCTTGCCCATGTGTCTTTGCACAGGGTTGCCGACAGGAGACCATTCCATTGTGCATACTGAATAATTTGTTCAAAAGAAAATATGTTTCGTCATATTCAGCAAATCTCCCCAGTCAAGGATGTTCCAATACTGGGTGTCTCGAACTGAGGAACACTACCGCTCAAAGAAATTTTCGGAAGAGAATGATTAGGATCTCAGGAATCCAAAGACCATCTGGAAGACCACTTTTTATGTAGTAGGGTTTTAGCATCCCCTTCACACACCCTTCACTTTCTTTTGGTAATCTGATTGCATTAAGGCGTAAATATGTGCTATCAATACTCTGCTGTAATAATGTTGCTTGGTAAAACACTATGAAGACTGGTTGCTGGATGAGCAAGGATCGAATTTAAGGCACATCCACCTTGTTTCTAAGTGCACTATGGTTATCCAATTCAGGGTTTCTTTCCGTGAACCAAAATACGGTATGTGGTGGTGGGTGTCTGTGGGCACTTGTGGTTTAACATCCTGGTTCTCCCTGGTAGTGCTGGTCAACTGGTGATGTGCAGTCCATATGGTCAGTTAACGGTGCTTTTGGATGTCTCTTGGAGGCACGTATTCTCCGGCTACATGTTTGTTGAAAAATTCCAACTTTAAACTTCACTGCTGTCCTATGGGCCGAGGAAGGCTCAGTCACCTACTCATTTTTCTCTGAGGTATTATGCCCACTGAAACCCAGTCGATATATGTGCGCCTATCTAAGACATTGTTGAATTGCTTGGGAAGTTCAAGTAGCATCTATCTCGGTATCATATCATCACCACGGAAGAAGTCAGTCAGC